GGTTTGATTATTTTTAAGGTGATCAAGGTGTGTAGTCAAACACGTATATTTATAAGTAGCTGCGAGCATATAAGGTGTGCCGCGTAATGGAAGGATTCAGAGGGAGCAATTGATCAGAGATCATATTGATCTGCTGGGAAGTGATGGTTTATGAGCGTTGAGACTGCTCAGACTGATCATTCTGGATTTCTGAGCAAAACTTAGAGAGCCGTGTGGTACCGGTACCAGTCCAGTTGCAGTCATCCTTCAATCGAGCCGCTCGCTTTGTGAATGCGCCTTTTGGACATAAAGCATCTTTATTCTGTAAATGTACAATTCATGCACAGGATTCTACTATTTAGAATAAACGTCCACTTTCCCCACTCAAAGGACTCTCTGACACGCTGTCTTTAAATCCCGGCTGAAGGCTCTACTGTTCAAACAGGCATTTGTACCATCTTAATTGATTTTTTTTTTCTTTAAAATACATTTTTATTTTTGTAAAAGTGACATTATGTGCCCTCAAAGCACCTTTTAAATAAAATACAGGGCTTAAAGAGCTCCGGCAGGGGGCCAGATTTCCGGCTTTTGACCAAACAGTCTGCCTCAACCAAACTAGTCTCCAGGCTGGACCGGAACGTGTCGGCGGCGACACATCTAAATTTGCAGTACCGTAATTCCGCCACACGTAGCGCTATCTGAAAAATTCCAACGGTTTCTGAAAGGGGAGACGTTGCACTTTCCAGCAATTATCGGGTTAATACGGCAACTTCACAGCTGCAGCTGCAGAGAGTGTAATTAATCCGGGGGCACTTGTTTAAATTGCGAAAATAACTTGCTGGATATTGAAAGTTCCGGTTGTTATGGATACATGGGTAAGTATATCATCTCACAGGACATTTAAAGAACTACTTACAATTAAAATAAGGAAGATTTATTTAGTCAGACGTTTGAAACTTAGGCGTAAAGAGCTCCGTCTGGGGGCCAGACTTCCAAGCAAAGCGAGCATTGGACCAAACGGCCCGCCTCAACTAAACTGTAGATAATAGACAAAGATGTCTGCCAATCAGAATTCTAGCTCCCGTGTTCTTGACCAATGACTGTAAAACGTTTTGTAGAAAAGAAGCGCATGCGTTCGGTTAAATCAGTGGTCCCTGTGAGGGCCACATAACTTTCCCCTTCTCTGGTGGGGGGCCGGAAATTGTTGACCGGGGGGGTGCGTTTCTCGATTGATTTTTACCCAGAAAGCACATGGGCAAAAACCATGAGTGAAACGGTCACTGGGACTGACTGGTATATATGCCATTGAGGGAAAGTAACTATAACATATTAATTTCTCATATGTTAACATAAAGGCTCGTTTTGAAGTATAAGCTGCTACTTACAGGCATCACTTCGAAGAATTCAACCTGGAATGCGGCGTTCATAACAGACAGGTGTTCATCTGCTCTACCGCTAGCAAACAACCGTACTGATTAAATAACATAAAAGTCAAGCAGTTCCCTAAAAGTCCAACAGATGGCAGCAATGCGCCCCACAATTTACAAGACACACTTCCTGCTAAAGAGCCCCTGGTGGTTGAAGAAAAATCCACATATAAACCGGAAAATACAATAAATGAAAAAAAAATCTGAATGCTCTCTGGTATTGTTCAGGGGGCCGGACCAAATGTGGAGGCGGCCCGCGGGCCGTAGTTTGGGGACCCCTGGGTTAAATCAAATGCGACATGAAAGAAGATGGAGTTTGTCTCACCCGGTAAAGAAACACGTTTACTTGAGAAAGGAATTACAGGTGGTGCTGGGCATGAAAAGAGGACAAGACGGGAAGCTGGCAGAATTTTTTACAAAAGGGGGGCTTTTAGGAAGTTGCTAAGTCTAAACTAGTATTGTTGTGATTGTAAGGTGTAAAGTTTACCTTTGACCTTTAATGGCATTAAAAGGAACTTTTGTTTTTCCACTGAAAGCTCTGGTTTG